AGCACGTAACTGGTCTGAGGACTCTCAGCTAATAAAGGAAGGTTGGAGTCTGAACCAAGCTCATTTCAGTTCACAGCCTGTTGCCCTTTCATATCATGCTTCCCCAAGTGCTTACTAGAAGATACTTAAAGGCAATACTGAAACAACTCAGAACTCGAAGGCTCTCTATCCATACACAGCACTATCAGTCCACTTAGTCACCCTAGTTAGATTCACCTCATTGTATCCCTTTTGTATTCAGCTTTAAAATAAAAAAAAAAAAAGAGAGAGAGACAGGGTCTGATCTCATACTCCTGGCCTCAAGCAATCCTCCCACCTCAGCCACCCAAAGTACTGGGATTACAGGTGTGAGCCACCACGCCCGGCCCTCAGCATTTATTTTCTATTATGTCACAAAGAAGTGATATGGTTCTCCCAACTGAGAGATTCACACACACACACACACACAAAAGGCATAACAACAGTTATTTTATGATTGTCAAGGCAATCTAAAAAGAAAATGTCCAAGTTGGCAGGAATGTGGCAAATATGAGAAGAAATTATAAGATAGTGGGTACCCCAAAGGGGTTTGTATATTCAAGCGAGCTATATAGAAAAACATGAAACTCAAATGTATCAATTCCATGCCTTTGGACACTCATTTCTTAAAAGTGCTCAAGGATTAAAAGAAACTATGCAAAGGGTGACATAATATTAATACGTTGCATCTATTAGGGTAACAATATTTTTATTGTTGACTTATTTACTGTACCATTTATAGAACCCCTATATAAATATCAATTCAAATAATGGAAGTTCTATACTCAGATACATTCTTTCAAGCATGTCACATTTCATGTGATTTCACCCAAAATTGTTGGCTCTTATAATTAAGAAGAAGGCCTGTTATGTGCCTAGTAACCAGATGCTTTAAGTTCATGATTAAATCTTATCCTCACAATAGCCTATGAGGTGAATAGTTTATTATCTCTGTTTTACAGATGACCAAACTGAGGCTTTCTAAGGTTCAGACGATGAACTAAAATCGCACCCCTACTAAAGAGGAACTGAGACTCCATCCCAGAGTTGCCTGGCTCGAAGGCCTAGGATTTTAACCACTACCTACCTATATATCTAACATCAGTATGTTGTTTCCTGAGGTGTGTCCTGTCATTTGCTACGATATCACTTTGAATAAGTAATTAGCCTAAACCAATACTGCTAAATGTGAATTATTGCTTCCTATCTTATTATTTTATCTAAAAGATATTTTTAGCTCAATGAACTTATAAATTTACTTCAGTTGTATCTAGTACAATATATCTAGTTGTTATCAATATATCTGAGCATTCTTGTTATTTCCTATTTTTTCCTCTAGGCCTTTTTTTTTTTTTTTTTTTTTTTCAGCACAGGGTGGCTGGGAGGGAAATGAAGAAGTGTATAAGGCAAAATCATTTATTTATCTCATTAACTGATTTAGAGAAAAGGGCAATAGTTACTATTTAGCAAAAACCTGGCATGTTTGCATTTTACAGACATTGTCTGCAGTCTTTATAATCCTGTTGTATCTCCCCCATTTAATAAGAAATGAAACAGAGGCAAACACCCAGAGACACCCAGGACCATTTCTGTCCAGCAGGTTTTGATTACACACGCAATCTCTGTACCTACAAGCCAAAATAATTCCAGGATTGCTATTTCTATGGCCATCTTACACCCACCATTGACATGCGGATTTGAAAAGGAGTTAGCAAATGGTCTCGTAACTCATTAAGAGGATCCCTGGTTTCTTGCCAGTCCCCTGCTAAACAGTCATAAATGGTAGTTGAGAACGGTAGCAAAACCTCTTGGAAACCATCTCACCCTATGTCCTTATTTCACAGCAGGGACATCAAGGGCCCACGGCAGGTAATATGACATGTCCAAAGTGACACCGAGCTGGTTGTGCATGGTGGCTCATGCATATAATCCCAGCACTTTGGGAAGCCAAGGCAGGTGGATCACTTGAGGTCAGGAGTTCAAGACCAGTTGGCCAACATAGCAAAACCCTCATCTTTACTAAAAGTACAAAAAAGTTAGCCAGGCATGGTGGCATGCACCTGTGATCCCAGTTACTCAGGAAGCTGAGGCAGGAGAATCACTGGAGCCTGGGAAGCAGAGGTTGCAATGAGCTGAGATTACACCATTAGACTCCAGCCTGGCTGACAGAGTGAGACGCCATCTCAAAAAAAAAAAAAAAAAAAAAAAAAACCAAAGTGACAACGAGCAAATGACAAAGCTGGGCCAGCCTCCTGCTCTGTTCAACTTCTCCACTGGAGGCCCACCGTCCTACCGAGGATGGAACCATGCACAGGGGCCAGCAGTCTGTGCTTACACACATCCAGGAAGGCACCGAGAAGTCACCGTGCAGCCCAGCCCCGAGGGGACCCCATTGCCATGCAGAAGCCCACAGGTGCCTGGGACACCGTCCGAGTTACTGGGCCAGTCCTCAAAGGTGGCTATGGAAGAAGCTCAGTGGCAGCCACTGTCCTAACCCCCGCTTTCCCCCAGAGTCTTTCTGACGTGGGGAGGAGCAAGGCAAGGCTGTGTGACCTGGGACCTGGAGTCTCACGTGGGTACCAGAAGCTGAACAGGTAAAAAGGGAAGGCTTGAAAAACATTTTTTCCCACATTCTACCTTTTTATCAATCACCTAACTGTTAAAATAGTTCTACCTTATAAACACTCTCAACTGAGAGGTGGCCTGGCAGAGGTGGCCTGGCAGAGCTAGGCGGGTATAGCTTTGAACTTGAACTGCAAATGTTCAGTTGATCTCTCTGAGATCATTTCATTTCATTTCATTTTCACACAGTTCATTTCATCTCTCCCATCCTCCACTTTCCCAGCCATAAGCAACACTCAACTCTTGAAACCACAACCTACTACGGAATAAATCATTCTTAAATTCTAGAGTTTACTAGTAGGTTATCTTTAAACTGACAGATTAATATGCAAAGAGCAACAAAGCCTTCCCAAGAAAGCCCTATGTTGGTCCCAAAGACCTCACTTCTAACTTGTCATAGAGAAATGATGGAGGAAAAGAGCTGAAAGACAAGGCCCAGGTTGACAAGTGCCACCCTTCCGTTGAAAAATGGCACACCATCTTTCCTATCTCCCGGGCCTGGTCCATCAGCAGTTTCTTGGTTATCAACTGTAACTACCAGTGGTGGAAAACATGCAAAATTTGCCATCTGTTTTTCAATTCCCTAAAACATGATACACTCCACTCACTGCAACACACTGCAATCACCTTGTATATTCCCCTACTTGGACCTTCTATTTCTGCAAAATTTCTCTAAAATGGATATTCAGGGAAGCAGGGGACAGTGGGGGGACACCAGTAGGACAAGCTGAAGTATAGTAATTATTTTAGGGAAACGTTAGCAATTCTGTACCAACTTTGAATAAAGTGAAAATTTTACTTTAAAATACTTAGGCTAGCAATATCAAAAAAATAAACAAAATGAGGATAGCAATAGCAAAGGCACTGGCAAAAGATTAAAACTTCATACACTTTTGTGTGCGCATATGTGTGAGTGTGTGTGAGACAGAGAAAAAAAATTAACACCTGGTGGAATCTGAATAACTAGGAGCTTGCCTTAGCCCATCTATTCCTATACAGTATATACTACTGAATAAAAATCTAGCTCATTACTGCTAACTTGACGTCATTTCTGAAAATGCATCATCTCTCATTAACAATAGCCCAGGAGGAAGAAACAGCCCATTAAACAGGCAATGATTTCTCTGTCCAAATCACCAGCAAATATTACTCACCTGATAGATGGAATCTATGATATTCCAGCCATTGCTCAAGCAAAATTACTCATTCCTCGCAAACCTGGCCGGAAGCCTTCTGCATCACACCTGTGACAGTCTGTGGCGGCCTTTTCCAGACAGTACAAAAGAACAGTAGGATGTCCAGGCCACACTGCACAGAGCCCGGAGAGAGCCCTTTAATGCCATTATTCACTGATTTTTATGGCCCAAAGAAGGTAACATAGTATTTAGCAGTATTTACCATTTTTTCTATTTTCTAACTTACAGCCTTCTATTAAGTATGCTCAGTTTTCATCGACTATCCACCAATTTTATGAAAACCTCAGTGTACCATCAAACACTTCACCTTTTCTGAAAATAATCACTCTCTTGGTGAAACGACACACAATGAAAAATAAATTTTAAAACAGTTTGTTTCCTTTAAATAATAAATTGCACTGAAAAAATTATCCATGTAACAAAAACCACTCATACCCCAAAATCTACTGAAACAAATTTTCTTTTTTAAAGGGAGTGGAGAAGGAAACCTATGGTCTGAGAGGGACCCAAGCAGGAAACATCGGCCAAGTGCACGGTGCAGACATCTTCCGGAGTCTGATGCAAACCAGTGGGTAATGAGATACTAAAGCACTGTAATCTCTGCCGAGCCAGTTGAAGAGAGCAAGAAATTTTGGTGATTTTTCTTGAATGAGATGTAATTTTTTTTTCAAAAGTGTTCTTATCTTCTAGAGATAAGTAGTAAGGTATTACAAATATAATACAATTGAGGTTGAGGGTGTACATCGGAAGAATCTGGGGTAGAGGTGGAGCTAGCAGAAGGTAGGGGTAGAGATGGAGTAGAATTGGCTACAAGTTGATTGCACTTGAACGTGAGCAATGGGTACATGCAGGTTCAAGACACCCTTCTCTCTACTTTTGCAAATTTTTATAATTGTCCATTTTGGGGGAAAAAAAAAAGTTAAAAGTAAATAAAACTTCACAAAATCAACCAACCCCCCCACCCCAAATTCACCCTGTAAATATCATTTTCACATAGACTGAAGAGGACAGAGCGTGTGTGTGTTTATTTACTGGGAGGACTGCCTTAAAGTATTAAATAATATTCAAAGGTCTTTCAGAATTAAAAAAAAAAAAGTTAAAAAACCTTGTTGTTCAAGTGAACACTGACATCGGAGTCCATGAAATCCGAAAGTCATCACTCACCTTTTTCAGAGCACAAGCCTTTATGACTTTTTCATATCGTTCCTTTTCATATTTCTTCCCAAATAAAATATTACTCCTCACAGTTCCCGAGAACACCCAGGGCTGCTGAGACACATAAGCAATTCTTCCATGCACGCTGACCAGCCCGTGACTGGGGGCCAATTCCCCGAGCACAGCACTTAACAGTGATGACTGAAACAGATTGTAAAAAAAACACATGTTCAGTCAACACTCGAGACAAGAATAAGCCACTGCAATGCAGCCTTGCCCAGTCCTGGGAGCTTGAAAAACATCATTCATTCATTTAAAAGAGGATCTAGTACAGCCAGGAAATTGTGATTAAAAATTGGAAATAATATTTTGGTCCATATCAACTAGTGGTTTATAAGGAATATCAAAATAGAGTGTAACAATGTACTCTGCCCTAATGAGTTTCCCTAAATGAGTTTCATTCCCCTAAATGAAATGGTACATGGAACAAAGATCAACTAAGAATGTTTACAGCAACAGAGTAGCCAAGCACGACATATAGTTCATATATCCAATATTGAATGCATTGTTCCTGCATGCAGGTATCCTTTTTGACAAAGAACTAGTTCTAGAAAAGCTATATGTAAATAACATATCCTGGCCAGGCGCGGTGGCTCACGCCTATAATCCCAGCACTTTGGGAGGCCAAGGTGGGTGGATCACTTGGGGCCAAGAGTTCCAGACCAGCCTGGCCAACATGGTGAAACCCCATCTCTACTAAAACTACAAACATTAGCCGAGCCTGGTGGCACGCCTGTAATCCCAGTTACTTGAGAGGCTAAGGCATGAGAATCACTTGAACCCGAAGTGGAGGTTGCAGTGAGTCTAGATCGCGCCACTGCACTTCAGCCTGGGCGACAGAGTGAGACCCTGTCTCAAAAACTAAACCTACATACATACATGAATAAATGAATGAATAAATAAAAATAAACAATATATCCTGTGCACTAGGAAGGACTTTTATTTTTAACTACCCAAGAATCGTGTCTCTGGAGAGCAAACTTCAATTGTGAAACCGCCCTATTGGTTATATACCTACATCTAGATTTACTGTGTTGCTTTAGAATGCATGACACTAATTCAGTATGCATGTTTCCTTCACATCTTCTACAATGCACAGACGTGACATGTCTGTGCCCCCCAGTATCGGAACACTTAGAACATTGAACTGAAATGATCTGTTTGTATATCTGTCTCACCCCAGATACCAGAAACTTCTGGAGGGCAGTGGTGTCTGGGTCTTGATTACAGGTGTATCTTTAACTCCTAACACAGGACTATACACCTGGCTACAGGTTTATTAAATGTATGTTCATGTGACTTGGAGAAGTCATATCAAAACATGTTTAAAGCTTTTCAAACAAGCCTTCACAACCTCCACATGTCTTGTAGCATCTAGGGTCCACTTTGACAAAAAAGTTCCCACTTTCTTAGTCAATCCATCTTGCATCGTGATCACATAAATAATTTCCTTCATGGAGATGTCCAACTTCTAGGAGTTCCCAATTACGCAACTTGAAGAACCAAGAGAAACAGGATATGCACTGCCCACATTTACTTGGTCATGTGACCTTTCTTGCAAAACGAATGTTCTATGTACTGAGAAATGCCATGCCAAGCATACCCAATTCAAAAATGTGTTACATGTAGCCTTGGGCTCAAACCCAAGAAGTTAATATGAGAAGTGGGGTGCGTCAAGCTGCCAAAAGCCATTCTAACTCACCTTCCCTGCTCCCACGGGGCCGACCACAGCTAACAATTCACCAGGTCTGACAGTAAAGGAAAGGCCTTGTAGAGTTGGGGTCTCTGATGCCTACAAATTAAAGTTTATAAAATGTGCCCATTTCAATAAAGTCACACAAATCACTTCAAAAAGAGAAGAAAACAATACAATAGTCATTGACACACGAACATAACCCAAATCTTTCTCCTTCCTATTTTAAGATATTATATCCTAGAGTCCTTTTCATACAATCACATTTTTTTTGGTGGGGTTTTAAACAGTTTGGAGTCTTCAGTACTTAAGGAAGGCCCATTCTCTTTTACCCGATTTTCATGTCAACACAGCTCCACACTTCCACAACATTTAGGTAGTAACAATGACAAGGCAACCTTCTTGAAATGAAAACTCATGCTAACTTATTAAAACAATATTCTTTATTATTATTTTTTTTTTACTTTAAGTTCTGGGATACATGTGCAGAACCTGCAGGTTTGTTACATAGGTATACATGTGCCATGGTGGTTTGCTGCACCTGTCAACCTGTCATCTAGGTTTTAAGCCCTGCATGCATCAGGTGTTTGTCCTAATGCTCTCTCTCCCCTTACCCCCAACCCACTGACAGGCCCCGATGTGTAATGTTCCCTTCCCTGTGTCCATGTGTTCTCATTTAAAACAATATTCTTAATATAATATTCAGTACAGGAGCTTTTCAATCATTCATAAGTTTTCGTTCTGTCCCTTGGTTTTAATATTCTATTTCATTAATCTCCACAAGGTGGCAGCATGAGTACATGGCATGCCCAGTCCTTGGCTAATGGATGATTTGAAATCTCCACTAATCTCTCCATTTTCACTTGATAAAGCACAAACCTTAGTTACGCCCAGCCAGCAAGAAGGCACTTTATACTATAAAGTCACTCTTCGCAAATGAACTTCTACAAATGGTGGTCAACCCTGTAACCAGAGCTCTAATTTAACAACAACCAAAAACTGAAGAATAATGAAATTAAGTATATGTTCATGGGTAGGAGGACCCTTGAGCACAGGAGATTCAGGCTGCAGTGAGCCAAGATTGCACCACTGCATTCTAGCCTGGGTGACACAGTGAGACCTTATCACAAAAAAAAAAAAAAAAAAAAAAAAAAAAATGTTCTTTTACAGTTTATTATTTAGGAGACCAAACCAAATTCATCACTTTTACAAAGAGCTTCTAAATATTTTCAATTGAGAGGATTAAGTGCGTATCAGGGAGAAGGGACAGTTTACCAGAGCATGACAAGCCAAAGTGAGGAGGTTTCCTCTTCTCATACAAGGACAATCAGTACTTCGAATTATCTATCTTTTAAAAAAGCAAAAGTCACTTGGTACAAATAAAGAGAGGAATGGTTTTAAATTCAGAGTATAGAACCTCAACCGTAAAAACTGCCAACGATGAGAACTTTTATCCAAACCCAGACATCAACACTAGCAGACAAAAATTGATACTGTTAAGTAAAAACAGCTACAATTTGGGAGGAATCCTAAAGGGGTTTAAGTCTCACATTTACAGTCTTCATCTGAATTTCCCATGGATGGACTGGAGAGACCTGACAGGTGGGCATTTAGCAAACTTATTTGAGTCCCAAATCCTTTCGGAAAGGGTTATTCTTCCGCACAACACACTTTGGTGAATGCTCATCGATATTATAGAAAAATGATCAAGAGTGAATCAAAGGCAATGCAGCCTCCTCAACTCTAGAAAAGGATTCTTCAAAATGAATCTGGCATCCCTGAAGGGTGGAACACCCCTGGGATGATGGAAGAGGGAAGCACGCATGAAGTCAACCAACCCGCAACCTAAAGATGCTGAGCTGGCCCAGTCCACAAACGGGTACTCATCAACCCCTCTCCACATCTCAAGCGGGCACGTGCGATTAGTAAAATGCCCAAAAGACAGAAAGCACCGCGGAGGAACAAGAGATCAAGATAACCTTCAAAATGAAACATTTATCGGGAAACGACTTAACAGTCACATACCCAAATAATCACAAATATTTTTATAAATGGTCAAATGCCAAAATATGTGTGTATGTAAACTGACCCCTTATAAATGGGTCCCATACCATATTATAGTATGGCCACAGACCAAATCAATCATGATGACTTTTAATCACAAAGAAACTAGCCCCAGATATCATAGGAATTATATAAAAATCATCCAGAAGAGGTTTCTCTACTTCTTCCTACATGCCTATCAACTATGTCTTTTTAAAAAAAGTAATACATTATTACCTAAACACTTGGAAAAAATAATGTTAAACAAAATGTGACCTATTTACACGATTTTGTAAGTGCAAACTTGTCACAAATTCACAAAGTCTTGCTTGACTTAGCCTTACTATATAAGGTGTTCCTCCTCTAAAATGTAAAGGGTCTACTCTGTATTGCTGATTAAGTAACATTGTCTTTTAAGACAACTGAAACCCACTTATTTCTGTGATTACAAAAGGATGAAAAAACACAATTGGTCAACCTGTCCCTTTCCCCTCCTTTGCAGTGTGTCTCTTTCCTAACAACTATTTCTGATTTTACTTCTTTTTACTCAGTTTTGACTGCAAAAGAGTGAGCCACATGCAAAACCCAGCTTCCCATCACCACCCTGGTTCTTAGAGCAGGTTTCTGCCCCACCTGGAGGCCTGGGACCCCGCACTGGTGCACCGCAGCCAGAAGGGGGCAGCACTCGACAGCTCAGAAGGCGAGGCCCCTTCCCTCTGAGACCTCCAGGCTCCAGGACACTAAGGTAGGCAGACTGAGCCCCCACTCTGGGGCCGACCCAATGCTGGGCCCTGGGGCCAGAGCATCGAAGAAAGCAGAAGCAAATGCCTGCCCCATGGAGAGTCACAGGCTCCCACAGGGCCATAGACTTTACAGCTTAGAGATTCAGCACAAGCCCGTTTGTTTTCTAAATGAGACCTAGGCTGGTGAGAAGACCTTTCCCCCAATACCCACTGGTCTATCCAGCAGGGCTGCTGCTGGGGCCTCTGTCTTTCTCCTGAATCCCAGCCCAGCACACCCTTCTTTCCTCTGCAGCTTCTCTCCAAAAGCCCCAGTGTCTGTGCCCCTCCTCCCACCCAAGCACCCTCTCAGCTGCATGACCTCCCTAATAATCCCTGGCAGCGTGGGGCATAATCACCCCAAGACAAGGCCCAGGAAACAGGGTGGAGTGTTCTGTTTCAATGCAGCTGTCAACGTTGTCTAGGAACTGAAAAACAACAAAACAGCCCATTTTACAATGTTGCAGAGTTTGGTATAAAAAAAGTTTGCAAATGGGACCTACACAGTGTGTGGTGGCTACCGCAGTGCCTTCCTCTAGCTCAACAGCATTCACCTAGAGTGCTTTTTGCTAGTGGATGTTCACAGAGCTTTTCTATCAATGCTTAAAGTGTATTAGAGCTGGGCGCAGCGGCTCACACCTGTAATCCTAGCACTTCAGGAGGCCAAGGTGGGCAGATCACTTGAGGTCAGAAATGCAAGACCAACCTGGACAACACGGCAGAAACTCCGTCTCTACTAAAAATACAAAAATGAGCCAGGCATGGTGCGGTGTTCCTGTAATCCCAGCTACTCAGGAGGTTGAGGCAAGAGAATCACTTGTACCTGGGAGACGGAGGTTGCAGTGAGCCAAAATCACACCACTGCACTAAAGCCTGGACAAAAGAGCAAGACTCCATCTCCAAAATAAATAAATAAATAAATAAAGTGTTTGAGGTGGGAATGCCAGCAGGTAAGGAGAAATTGTCCGGTCAGGTGACATACCTTGTGTGAGTTTCCATGTGCACAAGGTGCAATGATGTTCTATATATTTGGGAACACATTATTGTTCTGTCGGTCGAGATGGCAAAAATTACATCAGAATTAGGCAAACATGAAACAGGGAGTGTGATACTTAGAGCCAAAGGCATGTAGAGAAAGGAAGAGTCTGGAGTCTAGAGTTTTGACATTTGTCCCACAGGAGAGGGCGGAGACAGTGGGGCTGGGCGGGAGTGCTGCTCAACTGCCTATTGGCTCTTGGCTCCAGGAAACTACACTACAACTCAAAGTCAGCCACGAAGAGCACTGAGAGAGGGGAGGAGCTGGTCACCACCAGCACTGCCCACCTGTTTTAAGCAGTCCAAGCGGTCCCAGCGCCCTCAGAAGAGACCCTTTCCCTCTGATCTGAAATCTTGCTGGCAGCCAGGCCACTGGGCTCTGCTCCTGGCAGACATCATCACCAGCCCCTGGGTGCAGCTTCCTGCCATGGCTGGTCTCAGGGTGGCCTCTTCCACCCCTGCTTTCCCTTTGTGCTCTTTCTTTCATCATCTGTGTAATGAATTCTCTGCACGAAATTCCCTCTCCCATGCTGTTTGTTCTGTTTTCCAGACTAACACAGACTGAGACAAGTGGATTTGCAGAGGACCCCAGACTCAGGTAAGCATAACCACAGAACCAGTCCAATCTGGTTCAACTCTGTGTAATAACATAGTAAACTGTTTTTCAGTTGCCATGGATCCCAGGTTGCAAGTTATGTAAACTGAGCATTTCCAGATGAACCAAGCACACAACCATGGGCAGAACCCAAGTGCTGGGACCAACGAAGGAGGAATGAGTTCAGAGCGGACACCTCATGGCCTGATCCAGGATGCGATCAGATCCAGCCCTGGCATCACTTCATTGCAAGAACCAATCGGACCGCGCCTCATTACCCTCTGCCTGTAAAACCTGCCCCATCCCCCAGCTAGGGAAGACAAATTTGAGCGTTGCCTCCTGTCTCCTTGCCATTCGACTTACAATACAGCCTTTCTTTTCATGAAAAGCTGGTGCCATAGTAGTGGCTTCTATGAGCATTGGGCAGGGAGCCCACTGCTTCCTTGGAAGCATAAGGAGGGCCCTGGAGTTGTGGATAACAGGAGATGCACCGAGCCTAAGTACTTCCTGTGGGTGGCCCCTGCTGTTGTTCCCATTTGCCTAAATGTTATGAGTAAACCAAGTGCAGAAAAATCCTCGTGGCCTTGCCTGAACTACCTGTCCGCTTACCACACAGTGAAACCCTTCAGTCAGGAATCCATGGAGCTTGCTCTGCCACCCTGCAGCCTCCCCTCTGCCTTGGGCTGCCACCAAAGCAGCTGGCAACATCCAGGTGCTTGGAATAGGGGAGCCCCAACCCAACCCCGTGGCAAAAATCCAAGTCATGGGCTTTCTCCGTATGTAATAAGATGACCTGAAAACAGTAAGGTGAAAATGTGCACTGATACCTCAAAGTCTCTGTAATAATTCACAATGTACTCAGCAGTTAACCCATTCCATGCTGCACTCCAGTCTGTCCAATCCTATAAAATCCAATGTTGCCAATGTCCAAACACTGACATTTAGTTTAGAATGAGGTAACACTTTCATTGGTTTTTTGAAAATGAGATAAAACAGAAGTTGTCAAATACCTAAGTCTGATTTCATACCTACTTTCTATTAATTGCAAAACTTACTCCTAATTTTGAGAATCTTTGTAACATACTTTCAGTAAATGAGCAAGCCATATTTTATACCATGTGTAACACCTCAAAATTCTGTATTAAATCAATGTCACTCATTATCTATTAGCAGTCATGATCTTGCAATTAAGGATATGTTACCTTATCCCAAAAAGCAGTAAAGTCCTGCACATGCACCATCTTTTTACCATCTGACGGCGGCTGACGGTTACGCTGTGATATCTCATCAAGTAGCAAAAAGTTCTAAAGAAAATGGGAAAAACACAGATTGTTTAAATTACAGAAACAAAAGCACAAACAAAAGTCACTGCTTCCACGGAATTTGCAACATAAAACTTTACACAGCCTACAGATCATTTTACCAACCCTATTTAAAGTATCAGTTCATATCAGCATATGATATTTATTTAATACATAAACATATAAAGAGTTCATGGCCATGAACTATCTTTGTAATTTTAGGAGCTATCTGTGTAATTTTTTTCAACAAGTACACTGGTTCCTAAATAAACTGAAAATACTGCTCTGAGGTTGAGTTCATTTACAGCCTGCATATTTCTACTATTGCACCTTTGTGTTACTAATGGTGAACACGGGAGTTGGTTGGAAATGATCTGATGAATATTTCATGAACCCTCATCGTGTGCCAAGCCCCATGCTAGATGCTGGCAACATGAAAGTCAAGGCCATTCCCAGCCTTCAGAAAGCGAGTTAGCCCAGAAGGGCAGGCAGCAAACACAGGGCAGAGCCTCTGAAGGCAGCTCTGGCTCTGGCTGGTCACTTAGATTCAAATGGCCTTTCTCAGACTCCCTCGTGCATGTCAAATTGACGTACAACTTATTCACTATCACTAAGTCAGTGTTCTTTACCAAAAAAAAAACAACAAAAAAAAAAGGCTTCTATCTCTTAAAACATATTTTACAAGCTTCTTTTCAAAATAACTTATTATTATTACATATAATATATATATAACATATATATATATTTTTTGAGACAGTGTCTCTCTCTGTCGCCCAGGCTGGAGTGCAGTGGCACAATCTCGGTTCACTGCAGCCTCTGCCTCTCGGGTTCAAGTGATTCTCCTACCTCAGCCTCCCGAGTAGCTGGGATTACAGGCATCTGCCACCATACCTGGCTAATTTTTGTATTTATACTAAAGATGGGGTTTTACCATGTTGACCAGGCTGGTCTCCAACTCCTGGCTTCAAGCAATCTACCTACCTTGGCCTCCCAAAGTGCTGGGATTACAGGCGTGAGCCACCGTGCTCCACCTACACTTATCTTTTTCCTTAGTCAATGCCTCCTCCTAGACAGCAGGAATAGCCCAATCTCTCGCTTATTGCTGTTTTCCATACTAGTTAGCAACTACACAATGCAATTTAACTGAATAAAACAAAGTCCTGCTAACCATAACAAACCTAACATAATTATACGTAGGAAAACTCCCTTTCGCTCCTCAAATGATACGTATAACTCAATGAGAGAAGCTACAGTGGCTTAGAAACAGAATAAACAACCTAGATCACCCCCACCCCATCCAAAATTTTGTAGATAAGGCAAAAGCTGTCAGCTCTCCTCAAAATCTGCTCTCATTTTCTGTGATTAACAAAACTCCCAATTTTTAGCCAATGCACAGCAGCCTTGAACAAGGACCACTCTCTCCAGCCCCTAACGCAGTTAGATGTAGTCGCATGACTTAAGTTCAGCCCAACAGAAAGTGACAACGTCCAGGAAACTTCCTATACCCCAATGTCCAGTCCTTGGAAGCTGCCTGGACAACTTCCCCTCCAAAATCCAGGTGGTGAAACTCAATGGCCAATGTGATGGTATTAAGAGGTATTTAGGCCATGAGAGCTCCTCCCTCATAAATGGCAGTAAGGACCCTGTAAAGGAGGCTTTGGGCAGTAGGCAGCCCTCTAAGCCCTTCCACCTTCTGCCCTTTAAGGACACAGCATTCCTCCCATCTGGAATACGCAGCATCAAGGCACCATCTACAAGCAGAGAGCAGGTCACTAGAAAACTGAACCTGCCAGTGCCTTGATCTTGGACTTCCCAGCCTCCAGAGTGGTAAGAATTTCTGTTTTTCATAAATTACCCAATCTGTAATTTACGTTTACCCATCATAAACAGACTAAGACACCCCCAAAAAAGATAAAGTCATAACCTCAGGACCTCAAAGGTTGACTGTATTTGGAAACAGGAGTGTTACAGATGTAATTAGTGAAGACGAAGTCATACTGGAAAAGGGAGGACCCTAAATCTAACATGATCAGTATCTTTCTAAGAAAAGAAGAGAGAGACAGAGAGAGACACACAGGCAGAAAACAATCAAGTGATTAGGACACAGACGAGAGGGATGCGGCTGCAATCCAAGGACTGCCAGCAACCACTGGAAGCTCAAAGTGGCAAAGAAGGATTCTCCCCTGCAGGCTTCAGAAGGAGCCTGGCACTGCTGACACTGTGATTTCAGACCTCCAGCCTCCAGAATCATGAGAGGCTCAATTTCCATTGTTTTCAGTCACTGTGTTTGTGGTACTTTGTTCCAGCAGCCCTCACAAACTCACAAGGAAACTTATGAGGATTTTGCATGAGAAAAATAAACCACCTTGTATAAATGGCTATTACATGGGTATTCTGCAAACACTGGCAACTCTGAAGCAACTGAAATGAGCATGGAACATGTTTGAGACAGAGAAAACAACACTTAAATAAGTCATCTACTACTCTAAAATTTGTCAACATCCTTTGAGTCCTTAAAATTTTTGTCTGTCACTTCACATTTGACTGCAATGTCACTTCCAAAGAACAAAAACTGAAAATGAAAACCTTCTTCCATGCAGGAAAAGAAAGATACTTTCCTTTCTTCTACATAGGAAAAGAAAAAAGTCAGTATTTCTCTCAAAGACCCGGCAAGCAGAAGATGCTGTCTGTTCTTCTGCTGCCTCACTATCCACCCACCAGCCTTACTGAGAGCCGACTTAGCAGTGGGCACTGCTGGTCCTCCCTGCACAAGCCCATGTCTGGCATGGCAGAGAGGGCAGACAGATGCTGGCCTGAATGTTCTACTGTAGGCTTAACCACAGCATCTCTGCTTCCTCCTCCCATACCACCTATTCCATGGTCAATGAGATAACAATCTGGGCCTAATTTGCCACAGTTCACTATTCCTCAAGAAATGACCCAGTTGGGCCAGGGGTGGTGGCTCACACCTGTAATCACAGCACTCTGGGAGGCCGAAGTGGGCAGATCACTTGAGGTCAGGAGTTCAAGACCAGCCTGGCCAACATGGCGAAACCCCATCTCTACTAAAAATATAAAAATTAGCCGCGCTTGATGGCACACGCCTGTAGTCCTAGTTACATGGGAGGCTGAGGTATGAGAATCGCTTGAACCCGGGAGGCAGAAGTTGCAGTGAACTGAGATGGCACCACTGCACTCCAGACTAGGCAATAGAGCAAGACCCTGTCAAAAAAAAGGAAGGAAGGAAGGAAGGAAGGAAGGAAGGAAGGAAGGAAGGAAGGAGGGAGGGAGGGAGGGAGGGAGGGAGAGAGGGAGGGAGGGAGGGAGGGAAGGAAGGAAGGAAGGAAGGAAGGAAGGAAGGAAGAAGAAGGGGGAGGGGAGGGAGGGAGGGAGGGAGGGAGGGAGGGAGGGAGGGAGGGAGGGAGGGAGGGAAGGAAGGAAGGAAGGAAAGAAGGGAGGGAGGGAGGGGAGGGGAGGGAGGGGAGGGAGGGGAGGAAGGGGAGGAAGGGGAGGAAGGGAAGGAAGGAAGGAAGGAAGGAGGGAGGGAGGGAAAGGGGGAGGGAGGGAGGAAGGAAGGGAGGGAAAAGACCAGACCCAATTTCACAAGTTTACTGACCGGCAATCATGTGTGATACTGATGCAGTGTTTTCACTGGTCCCTTCTCCAGCATCCCCCATCAAAACCAACCGTTCCCAAACACTACTCCCTAAGGATCTTCTGAAAACACCTCTGATAATGGACACCATGCTTCAAACTCTTCCATGGCCCAGCAGCACTGACATTCACACTCCCAAAGTGATTCCCTGAGTATTAATCCCACCCTGTCCTTCAGGGTCCACCTCAAAAACTAATCCTGCCGGGAACCAGCTCAGGGTGGCCGCAGCTGGTACGGAAACTGAGTTATGTACAGGGCAGAGATGCGTCCCCCATCCTGCACTTACAAACACACTCATCTGCATGAAACTGCACTGCACTCGGGGTCAGCTCTTCTCAGATACATGCTATGGTCATAAACCGACTGTACGATTGGCTTAAATTATTCAAGCCATCAGCCACGTGAGCACAGCAACAAGCAAAAGACTATACATCCTCTTAATCTTGTCTAGGCAGAATAAAATTCTGATTTTAGCTGAAGTGTATGACCAAGACATCAAATTCAATATTCTGTACATGCATGTGAGAACAGAAGTTCCCCACCTTCAAAATAAAAAATTATCCACACAGTAAACCTACTAAGCACTGGTCAATATACAATAGATCTGAGTGGAGAAAGACATGATAATAGTTTGGTGGTTAAATGAGACTCCACTCAACACATGAATGGCTTGTGAAGATGCTGGAGGGGCTGGCTGGACTTTCTCTAGTCACTCAGGAGGATGAAAAAGCTGAAATGACATTGCCAATACAGCAATGAGGTGCCTCCCCAGAATAGTTCACTTGCGGAAGTATCAGACGGCAGAACTGAAGTCAAAGAGATTGACTTCAGAGTGGATGGTTGGCAAAAACTGGAGCAGCTTTGTGAACAATAAAACCTCAGAGACACGTTTTACTGGATGTGGAAGTCATTGAAGACTTTCAGTGCTTTGCTGTGAAGATAAGATCTCTTAAAATCCTATTAGACTTCCTTAATGCCAAAACCATCAATCCTTTCCTTAATAAAAGAAAAACAGACGGAACTTCTTGGACCTTAAATCTTCACAATAAAACCTTCATTTTCTGTACATGGAAAAAAGGAAATGGAAAAGTAAGAGTAAGAAAGACAACAGATTAAAGACTTAAATGTAAAACCTAAAACCATAAAAAACCCTAGAAGAAAACCTTCTTCAGGACATAGGCATGGGCAAAGACTTCATGACTAAAACACCAAAAAACAATGGTAACAAAAGCCAAAATTAACAAATGGGATCTAATTAAACTAAAGAGCTTCTCCACAGCAAAAGAAACTATCATCAGAGTGAACAGGCAACCTACAGAGTGGAAGAAAATTTTTGCAATCTACCCAT